TCCCATATTTGGGCATACCGGGGGTTGTAAAAATCTAATGTATGTATGTATGTATGTATGTATGTATGTATGTATGTATGTATGTATGTATGTATGTATGTATGGCTGATGAGAGCTAAATAGCTTGAAATAGATCTATACTAGTCTCCCTTTATTTATTTATCAGCACAAATGCAATATATATATACATATATATATTGCATTTGTTGCATATATATTGCATATATATATTGCATTTGTTGTATCTTGTACTAATAAGATAATTATTAGTTTGTCACTCATGTACAAGATAACAGGAATAAGGAAAAAAAATGAGAAAGAACACAGGAAATGGGTACAAATAAATGAGGACAGTGGGACAGGGACATTAGGCTGGCTGGTGCACTTATCTATGCCTCTTATTGTTATATTATTATTATTATTCTATTATAATATAAATATTATAACTTAGTAACATAATATTACTGTTATATTATAATTATAGTATTATTATATTATTGGAATTATGTAGCCCAAGGCATTGGGCAAATGGGGTTTGCTTCGGAAGGGCCAGATGGATTCATTTTGAGAAGGGGGAGGGGCACAATTGGTTAACAGGTGAAGCCTCAAACTAAAGCTGTATATAGTTTAGTTAGTAGAGGAGACTAAAGGTGAAGGAGTCTTTAAAAAAGGAACGAGGCTTTTTTTTGGGGGGGGGTCTTTCCTGGAGTCTGAAGGTTTAGGATTATCCACGCATCTAGTCTTTCCCATGGAGTGAGGTCTCCCAAAAGCTTCAGGGTTGCTCTTTGTCTGTTTGTCTTCTGGTCTTTCCACTGACCAGGCGCCTCTCCCTCCCTCCCTCCCTCCCTTACAGCAGAACCTATCTCTGCCAGGCAGCCGGCTCTCCGGCCCCACGTCCATAAGCAGCCGGAAAAAACGACCCGTGTCCGGACTGTCCTTAACGAAAAGCAGCTCCACACTTTGAGGACCTGTTACGCCGCCAATCCCCGGCCGGACGCCCTCATGAAGGAACAGCTGGTGGAAATGACCGGTCTCAGCCCCAGAGTGATCCGAGTCTGGTTTCAAAATAAGCGTTGCAAGGATAAGAAACGGAGCATCATGATGAAGCAGCTGCAGCAGCAGCAGCCCAACGACAAGACGGTAAGCGGGCGCGGCGCTTTCTCCTCCCAGCCTCTAGGGGGAAGCCGTCCTCGCACGAGGCTTGCCTTTCCATGCGGAGCTGAGGGCTTTGGGTTCGAGGGATCGTGGGAACGCATCTCCCCTGCAGCTCAGCCCCTCGGATTTCCCCCCCAGCTCTCTTGAATTAAATGGGTTGTGTATTCCAAAGAGGATGTGTTGGTGCAACACACTGAGCCACAAATGACCTCCTCCCATTTTTAGCTTAGTAGAAGAAACTGCCTGTGTGGTTTGTTATAGGGTGGGTAGTTACAGTTCCTTAAGTTGTGATAAGACATTGATTACTCTAAGGTTGAGCTAACCAAAATACATAGGTGAACACAGCCATAAGCTAAGATCACCTGCTTGGTGTTCAGTTATAAGATGGCTTGTTCAGTTTTGATTTTGGCTATAGTGTGGTTTGGGTTTAGCTCAGGGGTGGGTTGCTGCCAGTTTTACTACATGCTCGTGTGTGCACCAGGTGCATGCTGCATGCGCGTGCACTGTTCAATGTAAATTGTTCTTCGCGCATGCGCAGAACGACTAAAAACCAAAATGGCGGTGGCCCAACGGCAGCGAGGGAACCGGTTCGGGCATGTGGCAGGCCTGGGTTGCTGCTGCTGGTTCTGTGATCCAGGCCTGAATTCCACTACTGGTTCGGCCGGGAGCAACCCACCTCTGGTTTAGCTGTAACCTATTGTATGTGTGGCTTTAACCATGATTCAACCACATGGCTCAGGCTAGGGCAGGGTGCTCTCAACCTTGGCAACTCTTTAAGCTGTGTGGCCCTCAATTCCCAGAATTCCCCAGTCAGTCAAGTCCACACAATTTAAAGAGATGGCAAGATTGAGAAACACCACCTTAGGTCTTGGTTTCCCTCCTCACCCCTTTTTATTTTTGCTTGAAAGCCCCTTGAGATTTAGGGGCGGATATTGTGAGTGTGTGTGTGTGCGTGTATGTGTGATGTTGCTTCAATGGGTGTTTTGTTTTGCTGGAAACATTCTGAGTGCCAATTAATTATGCTCTCAATCCTGTTAAATGGGGGGGGGGTGGCAGTGGGGAAAGGAAGGGAGGGAGGGAGATAAAAGGTTGCTACCCATTTCTTCCCTTGAAGGCAGTCCTGTGCTTTTTATAATAGCTCCAGCAGCAAAGGGAGTGGTTGAATCCATAGCAAAAGGGCCTTTTCTCCCAGGTAAAAGAACAGTAATTTTGAGAAAAGGGCTTGTTTTGATGACAGGAAGCCTTACAACTTTTTGGTTATGTCTCTGTTTTACGTTCATTCTTAGAGCTGCACCGATTTGCACTGGGCAGAACAGAATGCAATACCACAAAATAAGTTAGAAAATAAATTGATGTAACTACAGAAATGGTGTCATTCTACCCAATAACCAGGGCTAGCCATGAAGTAGAATAAGTCCTAGTTGAGACCAAAGGAGTTTATAATTATATTATATAGTCCTGGTAATAATGTTAATTTGGAGGCAATATAATGTCAGGGATTATCAGTATCAGTGTGTTATTCTCTCCCGATAGAGATACCTTTGTGAAGTTTTTTTTAAAACATTCATTATCTGGATATAAAAGGAGTTGACATTTTGTCTTCTTAACTCTTCTATATTTTCCTACTTTTTCCATATATTTTTTTTGAAAGAATTGATTCAGAGAACCTTAATTTGGGAACATTAGATCTATACTTTGGCCTATTTTGTTCAGCAGAACTAAATCTGGCTGAATGTTCACTCTGAAGTAGGTGCCAGAAAATTTAGATGTACCCCCAAATTATGCCCCACCCACATCAGGGATTTATTGGAACCAGGTGGAACCAAAATAAAGTCCAAAATTGTAATTCTAAATCACATTGGCACAGGGAAGATTCCTTGTTGAGCAGGGTGGCATTTATTAAAGGAATAAGTTGTGGGCCTGAACTTGTTTAAATCAGTAGTTGCAGTATTTAAGTGAATATCGTGAAAGGCTATTTAAGAATCAAATGAGAAAAGTAGATTATTTTCCCCTTCCACTTTCCCTTTTAAATTTTCACGAAGAAACCCTAATTGTTGCACAACTTAGTACTCAAATGTGGGAAGCAGTTATGAATTTGTTTTAAAGGCTGAAAGCTCTGGTTAAAGAGTGGCGTTTCACCACCGCACAAACCCACAATTTAAAGGAATGTAAATTGCTCTGGATTTGGAAGCTATTTTGGATGCAAGTCCTTTAAAGCAGTGGTCTCCAACCTTGGCAACTTTAAGACCTGTGGACTTCAACTCCCAGAGTTCCTCAGCCAGCAAAGCTGGCTGAGGAACTCT